ATGATATTGAGCTTAAATCTAACACACATAATATAAACCCTAAACTAATTATACCCAAGTTTGTGATCTTTAACGAAGCTCTATCTTGGTACACTTACGGATGAACCTTAACTTGGATCTTCAACTTGAATTGTAAGGCTTCAACCACTATTCTGCCAACCTCCCTTGGATATGATCATGAATGCTCGATTCTATCCATCCTCCAACACATTGTTTGCCTAGAATAAATATAAAAATACAAATAATAGATAAACAACATTAGTGGTAAATTGTTTGTTAAACATCATCAAAACAAAAGGACCCAACAACGACACTTCTTGTGTCGACTCGAAAGGTAGCTGACGTCTTGATCAAATGAGACCCGAGATGAGATCTCCTTCGTGTCGACTCGAAAGGCATTGGTAGTCGACTCGAAGTCCGAGCCGAAGTCCCCAGACGAGATCTCTTTCGTGTCGACTCGAAAGTCATTGGTAGTCGACTCGAAGTCCGAGCCGAGACCTGAGATGAAATCTCCTTCGTGTTGACTCGAGAGGTAGTGATAGTCGACTCGAAGTCTAAGACGAAGTCCCCAGACGAGATCTCCTTCGTACCGACTCAAGAGGTGGTATTAGTCAACTTGAAGTCTGAGACGAAGTCCCGAGACGAGACTCCTTCGTGCCTACTCGAGAGGTAGTGATAGTCGACTCGAAGTCTGAGACGAAGTCCCCAGACAAGATCTCCTTCGTGTCGACTCAAGACCCCCTTCATGCTGACTCAAAGGTCGATATAAGTCGACATATCAAAGTCCTAGACGAGACCCTCTCCATGCCGACTCGAAAGACAGTGATAGTCGACTCAAATTCCGAAACAATTGCCACTATCTCGGAAGAGGCGGCTTTGTCTGAGACACTAGCAAGTGTCTCGGCAAAAGACCTACCTCCGGTCTCGGCAAAAGACCAACCTCCGAAGCCAGTCCCTTCATGTCAACTCGAAAGGCGGTGTCAGTCGACACGCCTTGAGTCGATTTGAAAGCTTCCTATCTCGTCATACGGCTCCTAATATTGCAAGGAACTAAATGGAAAATTCAACGATCCTTGCGATGCTTTAACAAAAGTCAATGAATCTCATCAACTCAAAGGTCAACTAAGGAATGCCCAAGAAGTGCATCACACAAGTTTTGAGACACAAACGTCTCAGAAGCTATGAGACAACTCATAGTTTTCGAGACAGCGACGACTGTATCGGAAACTAGAGTGGGCTTAGCGACGGTTTTCTCGAGTTTTGTGCAATCCACGTGGCTTCATAACTATTGGGAATCATCCAAAAACATAGGGAAGCCAGAAAAAAATCACGCCCATAACCATAGTAATAATGGCAATTAAACGTAGTTGAGGTAGTTACAAAACTGCCAGAATTGAGCTCTGTTTCCGAGATAGTGGCAACTGTCTCGGAAATGAGAGTTTGTCCAGGTGGTTTCTTTTCGACTTCAACCTTCAGTTATAATCCCTATGGGTTATAAATATCCTCATAGGACTAGAACCAAGGAGGATGGGGCGGACAAAGCAGAATCTAGGCAGAGACTTGAGCTTTTTGGCGAATTTTGAGCAAGAGATTGAGTTTTCATTGTTTCCAAGCACCCTCAAAAGCCTTTGGTGTTTCCTCGAGATCTAATCTTTGACTTAATCTTAGGAAGAGTGTTTTATCTTACCTTACTAAGATATCCACTTCTGTCTTTGTTTCTAAATCGAAACATCAACCTTAAGCCTTCTTCACGATTCAACTTGGATTTGTTATTCGGTCGTCCACGGGCTAATGCACCCCCAGCACAGGCAAAGATCGCACGCAAGCAGCGAATGATAAAAGTTCTTGCGTGTGTTTCTAGGGAGCACATGTGATCTTGTTTTGTTATAAAGAGTAGTTTTTACAAAGCATAAAGGCTCACTCTTTTGTATTCATTGTAATCGATAAACAGTTATAATGAATTCTGCAATAAAATTTGTTCCCGACACAAATAACTCAAAAATGCCAAAAGGTAAATGAGGGTCGCACCTCATTATGAACAGGCGAGGATCATTATCATGATGAACCTCATCTCGTCAGTGAAGACGAATATTATTTGGAAGCTCATTTGAAAGCATCAAAGCAAAGTCCGAAACTCATCACTGGAAACGAGAATCAAAGTTTATCAGATGACGAAGCTCGTCAGTGAAGGTGAAGCTCGTCATAAGAAGTCCACACAAGACTTACAATGCAGTTGGATTCAGCTATTAAAGATGAAGTTCGCCAGTGAAGACGAAGCTCGTCAGACGAAGTCAGTGAAGACAAAGTTCGTTAAGAGAAACTCACCATACTGTTAAGCTTGCCTTATCAGATGAACCTCGCTGTGTGTTGAAGCTCTTCTAATTTGACAAACCTTACCACGCATTGAGGCTCGTCATCCACACGAAGTTTGCCTGTAACGGCCACGAGGACCAAGTCAGCCCACGTGGGCTAAATTGCAGGAGGCAGTTACGCCTCTCTACCTACGATTTTAGCACATCAGTTACGTGCTAAGGGCTTATAAATAGCCATGAGCAGCTATGGAAAGCTAACTTTTGGATCATTGGGGATTCCAAACAGAGCTTTTGCACACAAGCCTAAGACCCAAAGTTCAGTTCTTGCAGCCTAAGCCGTCGCCAAAAGCTTTCGCGATCTTGATCTAATCGTCAACAAGAAGCAAGCTCGACTCAAGTATCAAGTAAAGCATCCTTTCGCCACACAGAGCCCACATTAAACAAAAGAGAAGTCAAATTAACATTCTCTTCCTTTGTACTCGAGAGAGAGCGATTATAAGGGATTCTTACCAAGTGATAGAACACATTCGTAAAACAAGAATCAATCGTATATTTTTTGACCCTACAACTGTACCAGCCATACCCTTTGTAGCTTTCTAAATGGAATTCTAGGATCCCTCCTCATGGCTATCAAACTGCTTATACACTATATTTTGATCACGTGATGATTCACCAAATCTCCTGTAATTGGACTGATTTCTTTTAGGACTAGTTAGTTGTGCCTATTCATGGCACGATTAATCACTTCATCCACACTATATATAGTCGTCGATTGATCCTTGATTGTGGTGTGAAGTCCATTGGTGTACCTGGAAATCTCTATCCCTCTATTTTTTTTTTTTTGATTATTTTGCACTGACAGACAATAAAACTCCTATGTATACCGCTAGATTGTCCGATCTTCCTGCTTGCAATCTTAAAAATACCCTGCTTGAAAATCCTCCACATCTAGATCTTCACTAAAAAAGGAATATCAACCTTAATTTTTGAAAATTGATCATTGTTCCGCCCAGGAGAAAGAAACTGATTATTGTTCTAACCAAGAGCAATATATTCCTCCCCTTCCGAATTCAAATCCACATCAACCCTATTCAAGGAATCCTGGGAATTGCCCCCGCCTCTAATAGGTGCTCTACCCTAAGGAATCGCTCGTTGTCTAGGGTTATTCCCATTTTGTAAGTTCTATAATGCTTTCGTCATTAAGTCATGTTGTTGTCATGATTGTTCAAGTTGTTGTTACATCACATGAAGTGTTTGAATGGGTACAATATTAGGATCGTTGTTGTCATTTTTAGTCATTGCGCAAGATAAACCTTGGCTCTGATACCAACTGACATAGCAGTGAAATCATAGGAGCCTTGCCACGATAGCTTCCTTAAAGAAAATGCCAAAACGACTAGGGTTTCTTTAAGAGAAATTTTATTCAATTCAAGGAAAAAAAAATCATTGCAATTGGCAAATGAAAAGTACTTAAAGGCAATCCCTAAAAGAAACTAAAAATGAAAATTACGAAATTGTCCAACAGGGAATCATAAAACATAACTCGCAACTTTGAGGCCCTAGACGACCTCGGATGCCCAAAAACTTGATCATGAGTTTTAGTCGTTGGCCCGTTCCACTTGAGCTATGCGAATTTCGGCTCATTCTAACGCCTTGACCTTTTCATCCTACATAAGTTTTTGTCCTACATCACTTGCTTAGTCAAAATGCTTATTAGACGTGCAATATCATTAGGTGGTATTAAACTAAGAAAAATCCTTTTTTTAGGGGGTTGGCTTGTTTTTTAAATAATGTTGGGTGGTTTTTTTCTCTTTTTTTTTTGGGCANCACAAATTTAGAAGGGCAAATTCAACCATGGACTCGCATAATCTTAGGAAACTGATCAAAACCAGTCTTCTTCCTGCCAGGAGATATGTCAAAAGTCATGAACTTGATTCATTGGATCACTTTATCGTTCAAGGCGTCTGCGTATTCCGCTCTTAGCACCAGGAAGAGCATCTCCGACGGATCTTGCTACCGCATCATCATGCAATGCCCCAAATATTAAGGAACGTTCAAAACGGCACAAGACAACTTGGATATTATACTAATCGCTAGATTGAAGCTATTCATATTCATGCACATTAATCAATCTTAGTTCAAGTGTCGTATTCCTTGATCTCATTTTCTACCTTCTTAACAGGTGTTAGACTCTTCTTAGTTTCTGCTCATGTGGGCTGTGTATGAAAATAGCACCCATATAAAAAAGCACAACACAACACAACCATCTCCATTTTAACAAATAGTTAATAGACTGCTACTTTTGATAACAACCGTTTATCATCTAGAGGGATGGTTGAAATTCTTTTTAAATTTAACACTCACCATAACAACATGAATTGCTAAGTCCTAATTTGCACTCCACTAGGTATCAAATAGATAATCAACTATCAAATAGATAATCAACAATTATAATAGAGCAGAAGTCCCACCACTACTTTTTTGTTTGCCAAGAGAATCCAAACCCAAAAAAACTACTGAGTTCTAGAATTCCATTTACGCCAAACAAGGTTCCAGAAAACTAATCCTAATCCTTGGAGAGAAAACCCACAGAAACGTCAAAAAGAGAATACATACTGCATAACATACAAATCTTTAACCAAAATAGAAGAGATTTCTTCTTTGTACAAAGGAACAATACACATAACATACAGACAAAAGGATATTGCACTCTTTTAGTGAATATATCGTAGCATCAGAGACGCTCTTAAGTAGTTGACATCTCAAACTTAAGAGAGCTTTATACCTACTAAGTTAACATGAGAAATTCAATGGGACTAAATTTCCTTGCATTAAGACAGGTAGAGGAAGATAACCCTTGCATCGATAATCAATACAAAGTTACATCAGAGATACAAGACTCATACATGCAAGAAACTTAGCCTTGTACTTTACATAGTCACATCACGTGCATACAAAGTTACTAAAGGGAGATTCATATTTACATAACGCACTAAATACTTAGTTGATGAAGGATGCCTCACCATCTTCTCATCCCTTTGTGTAGCGTTTCTAAAGTAGGAACAGTGATCCTGTTGCGAATGCAACTGCTAAAGAGAATTTCAAGGTTTAATTTGCATTCTCATTTCTTCATGATGGTTTTTGTTTATTTCGGCTCGAGCTCAACTTCTCCAGAAGATCTTGTATCGTAATAGAAGCATCCTTCAAAAAGAAGCAAATATACTCATCAAATATATACAATAAGAAGATACGGTAGAAACATGATTCCACCAGTTCCAAGAATAAACAGGTAACCCAAAGTTTCCTGGTTTTCCACTCATGTATTCTAAATTGTATTTTGCACTCATACACTAAGGCCCTGTTTGGTTTGACTGAAAACGATGGAAAAGAAAAGAAAAAGAAAAAGAAAAAGAAAATAGATTTGTATTGTTTGGTTTGATGGAAAGATAAGAAGAAAATGACAATGAGAATCAGAGAAGAAAACAAGGCTCTGAATTTTCGTTCTCAATTTCTTCCTCCGAAGCTAGTGAAAGTTGGGGAAAATTTTGTCTGGGCCGGTCGACCACAACTCCCGCTAACTCGATGCCACTACCCCCTGTGCTGACAACTCCCGCTATGTCGATGCCACTACCCAATGCGTTGAGAAGAAAAATCCTCCATTGATTGAGTGTGGGCCCCACCAGGGCTAAGACCATTATATTCAGTGGCCCAACTAGGGCATTTATGTAGGTTTAAGTACACTATACACATATGAAAAAAAAAATCATGTAAAGAACTCTCTTTATAGGATATATTATGGTACATTACACTAAACACCCATAAACTTTCAGTGCTTTATAGTAAACCCCCATGAATTTTCATAATCACACTAAACGCCCAATAACTTTTCCAGAAACCCCTTATGATCTTTTAGGTAAATTACACTAAACCCCCATGGACTTTCAAAATGCCTCTTTATGCTATTTTTTGGTTCTAATGTATGGGGGTTATCTACAAAACTGAAAACGTTTATGGGAGTTTTCTGCAATTCCAAAAAGTTCATGGGAGTTTGGTGTGATTTTCAAAGGTTATAGGGGTTTATTGCAAAACACTAAAAGTTCATGGGGTTTAGTATAATTTTTATATATAAGGGTTAATGGTTTTTTCTATCTTATTTTTTTTATGTATTTTCCTTCAAATTTCTTTCTACAAGTTTCTTTCTAACCAAACATATAAAAAAATCTTTTTTCTTTTTCTTTTTCTTTCTTTTCCTTTTCCATTTCATTTTCTTTTCTTTCACTTCACCTCAAACCAAACACAGCCTAAAGTTCCTTTTTTTTCTGTTACTTTCACAAGGGGGTGTTATTTTGTAGGGTAAAATTATCAAATTTCCCTTTTTGAAGGAACCAACAGTCTCCCCTCGCTATTTTTTTTTGCCATTTACAGATTTATCTTCTCAGTAAATTATCAAATTACCCAACCCTAACCCTAATTTCAAAAATGGGTAAATTTTTTCAATCTTAACAAGTTAGATCTACAGCCTATACCTTCATCGAACTCTGATTTAATAGGGAAACTGCACATCTCTGCAGTGAGATGTGCAGTTACGTAAGTCTCAACAACTGCTCCATTGCTTGATAACCTTATAACCTAAAATTTGAATACATACTGTTGAAGCTTCAGTTTGAAAATGTTCAAGAAATGGCCCAAATGGGGAAGAAATGAGAATTGGGTAAAGGATTTTTTTAAAATGTAACTTAAAGGGTATTAATGCCGTATCACTTCATATAACATGGTTGTCTAAAAGAAGATAATAACATAGTATAGTGAAAAATATCTCGGGCATAGAAGTGTTACAACTTAAGAGTACTGAAACAAGGAAAATTGTGTGGTATATAAATGCCCATCAGGAGTAAAACATAAATAGGCTGATTCTGGCCAGGGTTACTATATGCAATGACAAACCCCTTCACGATAAATAAAAACAAAGCCAATAAAAGAAGCATCTTAATCTTCCTTACCCTCAACTTGTTCCTCAAAGTTTCCTCTTCTTTGTCTCGGCGGATTCTTTCTTCCGCGAAAACGTCGACTAAAGCTTCCTGTTCTTTAGTTGCCTCATCCAGCTTCTTTTTTGCAGCTTCAAACTGTTGATAGCCCACAATTTTAAACATTTAGAGCACTGAAATCTACAAGCAGTTACCAAATCAAATCTTTATGGATTCCAATAGCTGCAACGGGCAATAACAAGTCACCATTTTGTTTCTTTCTTCACCTAGGTTGATATTATAAAAAAGAAAGATCATCTGCCAAATTGAGAACCAGATGTTTATGAATTAGAATAGCTTCAATTAGCTCATCTAGGTAGAATCCTACGCTTCCATTCAGTTCTGTTAAAGGCTATTTCCTCCACTATATTGGCATCTGGGTGCCAATATGACAACCAGATATGGTTCAATTTGTTTCTCAGCCTGATTAGCAACTTCTTTGACACTTAATGTGTTAACCAAGTGATTTTTGAACATCAAGTAATTAGTTGTCATCATTTTAAGTTTTATTTCTTTTGCCGTGTATCAGGCACTAACCCTGGAAACTAGAGGACTTCCTTATTGCTCTGATGATACCAATTTTTTTATTTTCATTTTTTGAGAAAAGTTACATCATCAAAATAATAAAGTTTAAAAATTAAAATTCTGTACGACAAGAGAGATCCTTACATGCAAAAATTTAAACATAGATTGGATCAGTGGAAATCTAGGCTTATTATATTGAACTGCAGCCAACTGGTTAATTGTATTTTTCATGTCATGCATTAATCGAACGGCATATCTGCGATGGTGTGTTTTCTCTGACAGATATTTAGAAAAGCCCAATGTCGACTCCTCAGGTACTTGGCTGGTTAACAACAGTGCCTTGAGCTTAAAATCACTTTTTCAAGGACTTGAACAATGATATCAATTGATTGAAAATGAGAAATAGGAGCAGAGAAGAGGACTAGGAGCTATATAATATCACCTCTATCCAGTCCCACATGGTGCTCTCAGTGTCTGTTGCAATCTTAAAGAATGCATACTTAGGCTACAAATTGCAAAATGTGAGAATCTATGTAGCCTATGCTTAAGTGTTTAGCTTTTAAAATTAACTGCTGGAAGTTGAAAAATGCCGTGATGCAGAGGAAAAAACACTAAATATAAGATCGGACAGCCATGGGACTTGATATCAAAGAAGGACTATGGTTGTCTGCTCTTGTTTTGTGTAGGGTAGTCATTATGGCTGATAATGTAATTTATAGGAAATACGTAGGCACATTATGATTTGGAATATAAGACAAATGTAATGAAAGCTAATGAGCATTTGAATTTCAAGTTGACCCTTTGATGGTTTCTCAAATTCTAATGAGGGTAAAATATCACCAGACATCAATGTGAAGCAATGATTGCACGATGACAAAGAACGAGATATCAGGCTACTACTTCAAAACAACCATCCCAGGTGATAAACTGAAGTAAATTATAAGAATCAAGTAGCAACAAACTTACCTGCTCAGTTAACAATTTATTCTTCTCCCTCTCCTGCTGCAATTCACGTGCTATTCTCTCTTCAAGTTTCATTATCCTACAAAAGTGCAGTTGTCACTACTAATCATAAAGGTGACATAAAAAGCAACTTCCACATGATATCCATTATTATTACCTTTTCTTCAATGTTTCATTTTCATCCGTCAATTGCTTGATTCTCAGTGGAGAATCTCCATTGCCGGTCTCATTTCCATTGCATGTAACTAGGATTGCCTGCCAGTAGAATAACAGTAATATAAGCTCCCCTACATAAAAAGAAAAAGTAATAGAAGTAGAAAATCAGCAAGGAACATAAAGAACTCTAATATACAAGTCAATCTGCAACATTAGATAAAAGGAAGTGGATCAAATCATATATAGGATTTCAATCACTCCATCCCTTTTACTTTTTTTTTAAAACGATCTGCTTCTCCCTTAACAAAATGCTGCTCTTTTCTATTTTCTTTTGATGCTTGAGGAAATGATGAGAAGAGGGTGACTACAGTGAGTAAAGAGAGGGATCTGTAGTGCACCAGAAGACCTATCACAGCCCCCGGCATCGATGGTCGCCTACTGACTAGGTGCCAATGGTGGACTCTAGAAGTCTATTAACTATTAACTATTAAATTCAGTTACCTGAAAGTTCGCGCCGTCCGCTGAGAGACAACAGTGGCATCCACATCACAGAGGATAGCGTCAATGTTACTGTGGTGTAGGGAGTACCTCTTCTCCCTGCAGGAGTAGATGACAATGGCTTTGGTTTTCTCATGGGACCAGCAGTTGGGAATCTTTATTCTTCATCAATAAATTTATGGAGGGAGAAATCAAGATGATCTATGCCAAAGCAGTTCTACTCAAATTATGGGAGAGAGATTTTCTACTTAATTTCTTGTGGTTGCCAGAGAAGGCAATGAAGCATCCCAAACAAAAACGTGAAGCTAGCACTTGAACAACTGTGATGAGGGTCGTTTAGGCTGGTGCCAAATTATATTGGGAAATGGCTTTTTCCACAGAGGGGTAACGGCTTTTTTAACTTCGGCAGCCAATAAAACATAGTTGGATCCACGTGACATGAACCCCATAGATTATTCATTGGGGGATCTCCACCGCAATGTGTTGCATTGATGCGACCCCAATGCAATGATAAATAGGCAAGGGTGGTTTGATAGGGCATTTCGTGGATGCTACACGTTATATCGATGTCATCTTAGTGTGATGACAAGTAATCAAGTACATTTAAGAAACTACAATCCTCTAATAGATTGCCAAATAGTATTAGACATAGATTGGAACATCATAAAGGAGACAAAGGTAGGAGCTATTTACAAGAAAATATAATTAGGTTAGCTACTTAAATTATAGGTACTCTTACCCAAATGACAACAGAATTAGTAGATTATCATTATTAGAAGAAAAAGTTTAGTATAATTTGTTTACAGGAAACTAAATCGACAAGTGAAAAATATAGAGAAATTAAGAAGACCGGATATAAAATCTGATACATGGGAAAGCAGAACAGAAACAAAGTGTGAATACTTGTAGATAACATAACAGAAGATAATGTAGTAGAGGTAAAAAAGGTTGGAGATAGAATAAGTGCTCTGCTTAAGAAAAATGATACTACTACAGTTATTGGGTGTTTCGAGGGGGGGGGTAGTAGTCCTAAAAGAACTTGGTTGTAAGCAATAAATAAGGATATAATAATAAAATATTGTATATTCTCATTCATATCTCAAAAGCTACATCTACTCCCCTTTATATAAGGATACAATAACAAGAAGTTTATAGTGTAGTCAATGTGGGACTGAACACAATTATGTAATCACAATTATTCTCTTAGTTACATTCCTAATATCTCTCAATCATCAAATTTCTAATTTATGATCTTTAATATATTATTCCTACTATAACTATAATATTATAGATCTCCATAATATACTCCTTAATACTCCCCCTAAAGCTGGAGCATGTATATCATACATGTCCAACTTGTTACAAACAAGATGTACTCCAATTTATGACACGACTTAAAAGGCTTAAATCTTCTGTGTGACCTTTCTCATCATATGTGTCTTCATCTTTTAATATCTTCCACCACGAGCAATCTAAACTAAAATCACCAAATGCGATACGTCGATCTTCTTCACAGATCGACTAGAGACCTACTAAACAAACGATCCTTACTAAGGACTCACCAAGCAAACGATCCTCTCTAGGGATTCACCAAATAAACGATCTTTTTCACGGATCAACCAAACGAACGATCCATTTTACGGATCAACCAAACAAACAATCCTCTCCAGGAATCAACCAAACAAATGATTCTCTTCATTTTCTAACAAACAAATGACCCTTCTTTAGGGATATGTCATACGAATGATCCATCTTTAGGGATCCACCAAACAAATGAAACAGAGAAAATAACCTTAATTAAACCAATTTCTAAACTATATCATGACTCAATCGAAATCCTTTTTTCCGGTAGCTAATGGTGATCAAGTTTTTAGAATACAAGTGGCATCAACAATTTGAGTAGGCAGTGAACGAAAGAAAATCTAGGCAGCACAGTCGGTGACGAGAACATAAACATCGAGGATGACTACCGCTATCAATAATAGCAATCCTGATTATCAACAAGGCCATCGAAATCAAGGCAGATAAGAGTCCGTGATAACGTTCACGGTGAATAATCACCGCAAAACACTGTTCATGGTGACCAGAAAGAAGGGCGGTTGTAAGGCAGAGGGAGGAGTTTAGTAGTGAGGAATTGGGGGGGCTAGAGTTTGTGAGGATCTAGGGTTCTATGGAGGCTAGAGTTTGCTTGGCTCTAATACTATTATTAATATCTCACAATTATTCTCTTAATTACATTCTTAATATCTCTCAATCACCAAATCTCTAATTTATACACCTAATATATTAGTCTTAATATACTATAACATTATAGATCTCCATAATATATCCCTTAACACTTTGGGATAAAAGGCTTTGTTTTTGTTTTTGTTTTTGTTTTTGTTGTAAGGCGAATCAGGTTTTTTATTTGCAGTAAAACAAATAAACTACAATTACATAATCATCTAATATGGAGCCAAACAATCTTTTCTAACTGCCTAATTGTTGATGTTAGATAATCACACAATAACTTAGTCGGGATAAGATTGATCAGAAGTCGCTAACTTCTCCGAATATCTGGTTTTGAGTAGAGTTAATCTTCCTTGCACGTTCAACAACTCCTAATAGGGCGGGGTATGGTTCCGCAATCAAGTTAGCTAATTACTGGAGTGGGAAAGCGGCGAACTATAACAGCTCTTAAGTGCAGTGGAATGGAAAAAAATGCTGAGAAAATTGCTTACCCTTATGTTGAGAATGATTTCCCCTTTTATGGAAACGAAAGAAGGTCATTTTGGTCTTTTCGTCTGAGTCAGCTATGACTTTAAAGGTGTCAGTCGCGAAGTGGGCGTGGTCACTTCAGCATTTAATAAGATGGGATAGTCGGCGTGCGAAGCCGGCATGGTCCGATGTATCATAAATAATATTGGGGATGAAGGAATGATGGCGCCTGTCACGCATACAATGTGATGTCAACGCGTTGTCAGCGGGGGGCTCGAGGTCGTAGTCGCCTTTTGTCTCGTATGAAGGTGTGTCGAGAGGTGCCGCCTTTCGAGTCGGCTTTTGTGAGATGTCGGCTAGATAATTAGTCTAGTAAGCTTGCGGCGAGTCATCTTCGATGAGGGTCGGCAAGTACCGTCTTTCAAATCGACTCTGGCGAGATGTCAACTCGGCAAGTCGACTGAATCGGGACTTTAGCTATTCCAAGCGTCAAGTCGGTCGAATTAGGAGTAATGACGGATCCTAATATTGGCGATTGAAAACACCTTAACAGTTGGCCCATTTCGCTTGGAGTCGGGTTGGACCGGGTCCAAGTGAAATGACACTATGGTCTTGGACGAAAACTGACGCGCATTAGGTGGGGGAACTGAAAAGCCCCTTTAGATGTAATGTGGCTGACGCCACCACACATTCCTTTTGACTGCTGCAACTCCGTTTTTCGTGCTAGATTGCGAGCTGTTCAGGGTAGGTGGGTTGTGCCTCGATCTGGGAGATGCCGCTTCAAATTCTGAAAGTTCATCCCGTCCGTTGGCTAAATTCTGATCCGACCGTTGAGATTCCGACAGTTGTGGGTTCAGCTACATATAAATAGGGCTAATACTATGAGAGGAGCAGTTATTGCTCTTTGAAATTCTATTTGAGAACTCAAGAATCTTTTCGATCATCTACTCAAGCGATCGATTATCCACCGCCAAATGGCATCTTCCGATCCCGTTGATAGGCAACGCTCTGCTGGCGGGGTTTCACTCTAAAGTGACGCAGCCGCAGATGAGAGCGCTTTATGGGAGGTTTGACATTCCCAAAGAGTACCAGCTAATGGCGCCGACGAGGTCAGAAGCGATATACGACCATAGACTGGATCAGGCCCCCGCTATATCTAAAGCATCTGGGCGGTGTCGCCAGCGCAGATGAAGCCAAACACCATTGGTAGGGTTCGTGGTGATTGCCATTGGCTGGTAATCAAACCATTCTTGAAGGTACTGGGTCGTCTGGTCACCGTTAAGGTGAACCAAACCGAGCCCCACTTTTATTTTCAAATGGTTAGCAAGTTCAAGCTCATCACCGATCTCCCCGACTCGAACAAAGATTGAAAGAAAAAGATTGTCTGGATCATGGGGGACGACTTGGAGTTGGGCTGCTCAAATTGGCCCGAGATACGGAAAGATGTGCTAATGGCTGTGTCAGAACGCGCAGAAGATGTCCCTAGACCAGATCAGGACGATATGCTGAGTACTTGCTCGATAACTCAGTCTTGCGGGTGGCTAATATCTCAGTCGTGCCCCCTACTGCCAGGTACCAGGAGAGGACCTTAACGCTAATCCTAGGCACAACCGAGATAGCTACGGTGTCGGCCTCTCAACTTGCCGACCCCCAGGAAGGGCTGTCGGCAAAGCTAGAGAAGCGTCCTCGCCAAGACTCAACTCCAATGGAGGCTGAGTCGACTGACATGGAGCCTCATGCTGCCCTGGTCCATGGGCGGAGGAGGCGGCTGCGAAGGGTCGAGGAACAAGTCTCTCATGCGAGAGCCGAAGTGGATGAGACCGAACGTCATTCAAGTGGATGAGTCGACTCCAGAAGAGAGGGAAGTCTCTCGACGAGAGGTTTAGGTC